CCGAAGGCTTCGGGTTGGGATTTTTTCAACCCGTTTGATGGGATGATGGAAAACGGCTATGGGGACTACTTCTCCGGTGAGAGACACGGGTACAAATCGTGCTCCAGCAGCCCGAACTCAACCGAGGTGAGGGAGAGGGAAGGGATTCCTGATCTGGAGGAGGAGACTGAGAGTGAGGTGTATAAAGAGGTTCTGAAGAAAAACGAAACGAAAGGTAAGGGAAAGAAAATCGAGAATAGTTCAAGAGTTATGCCACCTCAAAGAAGTGAGGGTAGTTTGAGAAAACAACCATTTCGTAAATCCGAGGGCGGACTAAATCCCGTGCCGCCGGTGCATAAGATCGAGAGCAATTTACGATCCGTGCCATCATCGAGTAGCATGGAGAGTAGAACTGATAAACAACCAGTGTCGTTTCAGCATAAGAAGGATAGTGTGAAATCGTCAATGCCCTCCGAGTATAGTGACAAGAATGAGAAACCATTCGTGCAGCCACAATACAACAAGAGCAGTGAAAAGACTTCTATGCCCTTCCGGGACAGCGAGAAGAGTGTGAAATTGTCGATTTCAGTGCCAGAGGATGAGAGCAGGTCGAGTATAGAAATGGAAGGGTCGATCAGTAGTTTGTCGGATCAGGAGAGCAGCAGTGCTGAGAATGTGGTTGTGGGAAGTGGGGACGAAAGTTTTGTGAAGAGGAAAGCGGTGAGTTTTGAGGTGGATGGTGACTCGTCAAAGATGAGTAGCATGGCTGTGTTTACGCCTCAAGGGAAGCGGGACTTGCATGAGGTTGTGGCAGAGATTAGGGATGAGTTCGAGATTGCAGCTGGTTATGGGAAGGAAGTGGCCATGATGCTTGAGGTTGGGAAGGTTCTGTATCAGCCTAGCTTTCTGAAAGGTGAGATTTTTAATTTTTAATTTTTTATATATATTTTTTTTTTTAATATCTTGTCTGTGCTATTATGATGGTAGGCTGTTATTGCTAGAGTGGTGTCATGGAGTAATTTTTTTATTTTTATTTTTTTCAGAAATTTTACATTTTGTTAATTAAAGGATGGTTTTGAGTTGTGTAGTTGATTGTCAAGCAAGTTGCAATTTTCCCCTTAGGATCCTGGTGGATAAGGGGTTCAATCTATTAAATTACATGTTTAATGAATGGACTGATGAATGAGTATCTGACATGTTGAACTTTCTGTGTTTGTTAGTCTATGTTTGTTGATGTCCATTCACAGGTTGGCTTAAATGATGATAGTTGAGGTATTAATAAAGCTATTTTGCATGGGATGACTGCATTTTCTTCCCCTAAAATGATATAACTGCATAGTCAAAAAGACGAGTTATTATCAAACAGGGGGTTTGAGATTGACTACTACACATATTACAGTGTGTACTGTAGGCTTATCTATGCATTTACTTATTTTTTTGTTCCAATTAAGCTTCAACAATTTATTGTTTATTTTTCTGGAGCTAGATCTTCTTGTTTTTTTTCTTTGTTGAGGACTAACTTGTCTTTTAACAGTAATTCGCTCCCGGATATTGTATCCACTGTCTCCATCCCTGTCATCACGTGATCCTCCATCATTGCAATCTGCAAGATTAGCTTCCAAGACAATGAAGTTGGCAAAATCTTACTTTGATGATGTCGGTAAGGATGTTGATGCAAAGGCTTGTAACCTCTCGTCTACTCTGGACAAGCTGTATGCTTGGGAGAACAAGTTGTACAAGGAAGTAAAGGTAAACTGAGTTAGGTTTCCCTTTTTTGATAGCTAGTTGCAATATATTATGTTCTTCTTTGTTCGTTCACTCATGATAAACCTAGAAATTCTTGATAATTGAGTTTGGAAAGGGTTCGTGTTCAATTTGATCATTTGTGTAACGAAAAATGGTTGATTGGTGTTTTGTACACTTTGTGCACATTATATAAGCAGTTACGATTGCGAACTACTTTTCTTATATGTATATATCCCAAACTACTTTTCTTATATGTATATATCCCAAAGTCGATTCAACTTGTTTTGATGGAAGAGAAAAGTTATTAGCATGTTTACTTTTATTAGGAAGAAGAAAAACTCCGAGTCATGTACGAGAAGCAGTGCAAGAGGCTAAGAACGTTAGACGAGGAGGGAGCTGAGTCTATCAAGATTGATGCCACTCGAGCTTCTATAAGGAAGTTGCTAACGAAACTCGATGTTAGCGTTAAAGCTATTGATGCTATTTCAATCAGGATACACAAATTAAGGGATGAAGAATTGCAACCTCAGGTTGCTGAATTGATTCACGGGTACAAATACATTCATTGCCTGCTGCTCTACTCGAATGTATTTGGTTACAACATTACTTGTTTCTTTTTTTGAAACAAAAGTTGAAGCATTAAAAAAAACCATGAAAAATATAGAATAGAGACCAAAATAGAATAGAGACCAAAATAGAAAATAAGTCATTGTTTCTGAAAAAACTTGGTTTCTCACACAACACCAAAAAATCACCAAAAATGTGGAAAACACATTTTCATCGCAAAAATAAAGTTTTGAAAAAAAAATAAAATATTTAAGCATTAAAAAAAGCCATGAAAAATAAAAAATAGAGACCAAAATAGAAAATAAATCAACGTTTGTGAAAAAACTTGGTTTCAAACACAAATAATGTGGAAAACACATTTTCATCGCCAAAATAAAGTTTTGGAAAAAAAAAAGGTTTATGCATTAAAACATCACATCATCATCCGTGTAGGTTCACAAGGATGTGGAAAACGATGCTGAGGTGCCACCAAAAGCAATTCCAGGCCGTGATGGAGAGCAAGATGCGGAGGCTTCGGGCCTCCAATGGGCCCGACCCAGGCTCGCGGGCCTCGGCTGGACTCGAGCGCGAGCTTCGGGCCTGGTGCATCCGCTTCAACAACTGGATCAACTCCCAAAAGTCGTACGTCGAGTCCCTCAATGGGTGGCTTGTCCGCTGCCTCCAGTACGAGCCCGAACAGACCCCAGATGGGCCCGGCCCATACTCCCCGGCCCATCTTGGAGCCCCGCCAGTCTTCATCATCTGCAACGATTGGAATCGGGCCGTGAAGGCCGTCTCGGAGGCCCGTGTGGCCGATGCCATGAACACGTTCTCGACCAGCCTCAGGCAGTTGTGGGAGAAGCAAGACGAGGAGGATCGCCAGAGGGTAAAAGCGGAATATCTGTCGAGAGATTACGAAAAACGGGTGGACGAGAAGAAGGGATTGCCCGTGGTGGTGCAGGTGGACCACCGTAATAGTAGTGGTGGTTTGGACGATCTGAAGGTGGATCTTGACTTGATGAGAGAGAAAGTGGCGGAGGAGAGGGTGAAACACAAGGACGCCATGAAGCTGGTGCGTGACGCGACTTGTAGTAGCTTGCAGGGTGGTCTAGTGCCGATTTTCAAGGCCTTGGAGAGTTTTACTAAGGATGCGCTTGAAGCGCACGAGCATGTCAGGCTGGAGCATCATGGGCCGGGCTCATAGAGAGTTTTTGTTGGAATATCACTTATGAGTTATTCCACATTGAAAAAATGGGCCTAGCTTTACATGTTTAGTGTTTACGCCTGAAATGGGCCTCCGAGCATTTCAGGCGGACTCTGGAGCATTGCAGGCCGGGCTCTAGAGAGTTTTACTAAGGAAGCTTTAAAAGCGCACGAGCAAGTCATGCTAGAGCATTGCGGGCCGGGCTCATAGAGTTTTTACTAGGGAAGCTCTAAAAAGGCATGTTCGGCTGGTGCATTGTGGGCCGGGCTCATAGCGAGTGTTTGAAACTCGGGAATGTGTATAATTAATGGTCAGTTTGCCTGCGTTCAGAGAGGAATTTTGTAAGCTAAAATTTTGATTCTACTTATTAGGTTAGACAGAAAGGTAGAACTTTTTCTGTACAGGGATTTATGTATTTGTTAATTTTATGGGTTTTTTAGTTGGCTGAATCTTGGTGCTAGCAGAACAGTTTCTAGGATGGATATTTTTTTGAGGACAATGGGGGCCTTATTTTTGATAAGGTTGGTAGAAAAAAACCCATAAATTTTTATTGTGACCGTACATTTTTGCTTTTGTGTCTGCATATTTTGTTTTTTGGTACAATGTGTCTGCATATTTGTTTGGGCAATTTACGATAACTTTTCTATTAATTTAGGTCGTGGCATCACTCATATTTTGTCCTTTCCAATTTGCACAAATTTTTGCACGAGAAGATGTAACAAGAGTTGAATACAAATTATAATACATACTTATATACTTAATGTCATATGTGTGTTCATTATTTTTTTTTATCTAAATGTAGCATTTCTTAGCAAATTATAATACATACTTATATACACTTAATCTCATATATGTGTTTATTTTATTTTTCTTAAAGTGTGGCATTTCTTATAAAAGTATATATATATATATATGGGGACAGAGAATCTCAATTTAATTAGATCGACCTAACATAGAGATGTTAAACAAATCGAGTTACCCGTGAACTCGCCCCAATAAGGCTAACTTTTATGTAATTTTTCATAAATCATCTCGATAAAGCTCAAGTTTGATTCAAAAATATTAAAAACGAGTTGAGTTCGAACTCATTAAATTGGCTCAAACCAAACTCGAGTGTAAGGAATTGAACTAGTTTCCATTCGTTGGCACTAGACCTATAGTCCAATTTAATATTTTTACTTTACAATCCACAATTTAAATTTGATGTTTTTCATTTATTGCAACTTTGACAGTTTGACCAAGTCTCATAAATTTTCACGATATTTTGTGTTAATTGTGTTTATATTCTTGGAATTATTCAATTTATGTGTGTCAAGTCAAAGTCCACAGTGTACAGACAATACAAAGTACATAAATTAACACCTAGAGGAAGCCAATTTCATATTTTACTAAATAATTTATATTTTTTTTGTGAAAATAGTGTATTTTCTCAGGGACTTCATTGCAAAAAGTGTCTTTTGCTAGGATAAATTTGAAATTTAACTGAAAACTGAGTGATATATAAAAACCTCAGTCGCTCAGCTGGCCAAAAGCAAAGATCTTTTTACGATCCTTCTTGAGAAAACTGCGATTTAGCTGAGCCATGGAGTTAATCAAGCTCTCAATATGTTCGTCTCTGATCGTTTTGGCGTTGACCTCCTCCGTTTCAGCCGCCGGCGAGGAATCTGAATCGAAGGAGTTCGTAGTGACATTGGATCACTCGAATTTCACGGACTTTGTCGCGAAGCACAAATTCGTCGTGGTTGAGTTTTATGCGCCTTGGTAATTCAATTGCTTTCATATTTCATCCTTATCTGTTTTCAGTTTACGTGTTTGTGTTTGTGTTTTGTGCGTTGTTGTTGTGTGTGGTCGCCGTTTCCGTGTTCGTCGCAGGCGTTGTTGTTTTGCTTGATGTTTGTTTTAAGCGGTATCTAATCGGTTTTTTCATGTGATTATTTTGGTTGCTGAAAAGAAGAACGCATTTTATTATCAAATATGTGTTGTGGGCTAACCATTGTGGAGTGTATAGTGCTTGTTGAAACGTTGCGAAGTACGTTGGGTGATCGCATGATTGTTGAGAAATTAAAGATTAGTATAATAGGGATTGTCATTTCGTATGGTGAAATTGAATTATCTAAAGAAAGTTGAGCCTTTTGATATATTCTTATGTTTTTACCAGGTGTGGCCATTGCAAGAAACTTGCTCCAGAGGTACAGGTACTTATCTATTGCTCGTTTGGAAAACTATACTCTTGTTTTGAAAGCATAGAAAAATGCCTATATATATTGTTTACATGTCGCTTTGCATTTTCAGTATGAGAAAGCTGCTTCTGTTCTAAGTTTGCTTGATCCTCCTGTCGTCGTAGCAAAAGTTGATGCTAGCGATGAGCAAAATAAAGTCCTTGCTAAGGAATTTGAGATTAGTGGTTACCCTACACTTAAGATACTGAGAAACGGAGGCAGTGTTATTAAAGATTACAAAGGACCCCGAGATGCAGATGGGATCGTTGCTTATTTAAAAAAGCAGAGTGGTCCTGCTTCCTTTGAAATCAAATCATCCGAAGATGTTACCTCTGTAATTGACGACAATAAGATTCTTGTTGTGAGTCTACTCTCCCTCATTCTTTTGTGTTTCAATGTCATATAATTGGAATGTTAACATAACTAAGAAAACTTGTACAGGTTGGTGTTTTCCCAGAATTTTCCGGGGAGAAGTTTGAGAATTTCATGTCCCTGGCTGAGAGATTGCGTGCTGATTATGAGTTTGGTCATACTTTGGATGCCAGACTTCTTCCCCGTGGCGACTCATCTGTCGCAGGGCCTCTTATCAGGTTGTTGAAGCCTTTTGATGAACTCTTTGTGGATTTCCAGGTATAAGTAGATAGTATTGTACTCTTACAATGCTTATACATTTGTATTATAACAACCCTATTTAAAGAGATCCTCTTCTGCAGGAATTTGATGTGGATGCTTTGGTGAAATTTGTTCAAGAAACTAGCATCCCAACTGTGACTTTCTTCAACAAGGATCCAAAAAACCATCCATTTGTTGTTAAATACTTTAACAGCCCCAATGCCAAGGTCCGCCACAATTTATACAATTTCGTTGATTGAAAGATCATAAGTAATAATGTGTCATAATTACACAATAAATACAGACATAGAGAAGGATTATGTGACTCCTACAAGTTGCATTTTAACAAGATATGTTTACTTTAGTTGGATATTCCTTTTTAATGGTGCCTTTCTTATCATAATTTAACTTTTATTGTTGAGAATCTAAGTTCATTTGTCAAATAAAGTGTGCCTCGCATCTTGTCTACTAGTGGCAGGAGAGTAACTGTAGTATGAAGCAATGAAAGCAAACACATGAAAAGTCACATGTAAATTATAAGAAATTTATGGGCATAATAGTTTTCCATAAAGTAAATGACTAATCATGGGTAGAAAAACTATACCCCTTAGCACATCAAAGAAGTGGCTCGCTGAATAGATGCCCTGTCGTGCTACCTTTTAAATATCTGGTCTCCAGATTCTATATTGCTCGATATATAATAGTTAGCATGTGTGCTTCGGTTATATAATTTGATTTGAGGTTCTATTTGTTACTGTAAACTAGCAGTTATTCAGTAATAATTTGATTATTGTCAACTCTAGCAATTTGTTGCTCGTTGAAAAATCAATTGCCCTGTAGCCAATCCTCTAAAAGTCGCCAAGCGGTGGTCTAGGGCCTAGTGCCTAGGGCAACTAGGCTGGGTCGTGAAAATATTAATAAATTTATTTATATTTATTAATGAATAATTTATAAGATATATTATATAAAATATATTAATTGAAATGACCGAGTCATGATCATGCAAAATCTAATTTCATAATTATTGTATTAGTTGTAATATGATTATTATTATTGTTTTATTATATAATTAAAGTAAAATTCGTACACTTGAATTGGTTAATTACGGTACCGTCCCTAGTGTGAACGCAACGCTGTATGTTCAGTACCTCCATAAAAATAAAATTATTATTTTTAAATAGTTTTTGAAAATATATATATATATATATATATATATATACTTTGCAGTTGCCTTGCCCGCCTAGTCGCCTGAGCGCCTAGAATGACTGCCTCGGCAAAAATCATGCCCCTTAGGTGCCGCCTTGCGCCTAGGCCAATGCTTAGAACAAAGCCTGTCTGTCTCCACCCCCCAGTTTCTTAATCCTGTTTGATATATGTGTTTGCTTTCTTCTTTCTGAAATTTTGGTAATCAATCAAATGGTACTTTATTTATTTATTTATTTTTGATCGGTCAAATGGCACTTTATTGTTCACAGGTAATGTTGTTTCTAAACTTTACCAACGAGCAGTTTGATGCATTTAAATCGAAATATCATGAGGTGGCTGAGCTTTTCAAGGGAAAGGACTTGAATTTCCTTATGGGCGACGTTGAGGCTAGTTAAGGTGCTTTTCAGGTTAGTCTTCTTGAGAATCTTATTTTTAGTTTCTTTCCCAACACATTTCTATGCTGATTATTTTACTCTCGAACAGTATTTTGGGCTGAATGACGAGCAGGTTCCTCTTATCATTATCCAGACTAATGATGGTGGGAAATATCTCAAACCGAATGTTGAGCCCGATCAGATTGCATCGTGGGTGAAGGACTTCAAGGTGATGCAACACACACACATATAAGCTTTTTCGGGTTAATTAATTGCCTTTCCATATATATATATATATATATGTATGTATATGTATATCTAATTATATATATAACATAATACATATGTATGATATTTTAAATTAATTAATTGCAATTCCTCACCGTTCCATGTGTAGGATGGCAATATTCAAGCATATAAGAAGTCAGAGCCCATTCCTGAAGTTAACAATGAACCTGTTAAAGCGGTGGTAGCTAACAACCTCAAGGATATGGTTTTTAATTCTGGAAAAAATGTGTGTATCTGTATTTTGTAGCTATTCTTATCACATTCTCTTGTACATTAAAGATATCTGCATTTTTTAAAATTTTGTAGTTTCTTCCATTTCCCTTTGGTTTAATTAGATCTTATGAGTATTTTACACGATTTATGTCCATTTTTGCACTCGTAAAACTCCCGTACTGAGTAAGACTCATAACTTTTTTGTTTAGAGAAGATTGGATTTTAGTTTTATCATTCCCATGCTGCTTTTAGGTGTATATACTTACGGATTACACCTCAAATATAAACAATATTTTCCGTGCAGTTCTTCTGGAGTTCTATGCACCATGGTGCGGACACTGCAAGAAATTGGCACCAATCTTGGATGAAGTTGCTATCTCGTTTGAGAACGACCCAGATATTGTGATTGCCAAATTGTAAGATTCACGACCTGTCAACATCAGTTGCATTCTATTCATTTTTTTTTTTTATTTTTTTTTGTTATTTATGGTAATAATTGCATGCAAATTAACTGCTATTTGTAACTAGTTTTTTTTTTTTAACCTTTTGTTTAGGATACTTTCAACTTCAATTCTCTTACTCTGTGTCTGGTTTTTGTGCAGGATGCCACTGCAAATGATATCCCACGGGACATTTTTGAGGTGAAAGGTTATCCAACATTGTGTTTCAGGTCGTCGACTGGGAATATTGTTCGATACGAAGGAAATAGGACCAAAGAAGATTTGATTGATTTTATAAACAAGAACCGAGCTAGTCTCACCAAACAGGAGTCACGTAAGGAGGAACTCTAGAGAAGGTAATAAAATTCTCATATATACTATACATATATACCGCACTGCATATTTCTTGCAATTAAATTGAGGAAGTCATTCATACTTTAGTCCTGAATATGAGCTGGATTTAGAGATAATTACAGGAACTATCCCTGAAGTTTGTCTTAATTACAATAAAATCAATCTTGTTCCAAAATTGTAAAACACTCCCTTCAGGTCTTTATTTACTACAAATACCCCTATTTGAGGTTCCCATTTCTGAAATATCAAGA